GGCCACCACGCAGTCCAGGTCCAGGGTCTGTCCCTCGGCRATGGAGGGTGACGGGGACTCCACRCGGACGGGCGGCACAGCACCTGCAGAGCACCGTGCTGGGAATAACCCGGCGGAACCTCCGCAAGCGTCGTCCCGGGCGCTGCTGCCGCCCTTACCTGGCGCCACCACCACCTCGATCCGGGCCCGGGCCGTGCCGGAGGCACTGGTGCCGACGCAGAGGTAGACGCCGCCATCGGCCGCCGTGATGGAGGGGATCACGAGGGTGGCGATGTCGGTGCGCTCCGAGCGCGCCTGCGGGCAGGAAGGAGGTGGTGTGAGGACACAGAGGGACCACTCTGGCACCCAAACCTTCCCCAGCGCCCCCCGTGCCGGCTCACCTGCGGGGGCAGATCACCCCCCTGCTTCTCCCAGGAGATGGTGGCGTCGGGCGAGCCGGAGACGCGGCAGTAGAGCCGCACCGTGGAGCCCTCCTGCACCTCGGTGCGCTCGGGGCTCACCTGCACCTGGGGCGCCTCGGCACCTGCGGGCAGCACCGCGGGCAGGTGGGGGCGCTGCCGCCGCCACCGCGGGCAGGGAGAGGCGCAGGGGCCGCCCTACGCACCTTGCACGCGGAGGAAGGCGCGYGCCACGTGCTGCCCGGCGCTGCTGCGCGCGCGGCAAACGTAGTGCGCCTCGTCGGCGGGCTGGGCGGCCGGGAAGCGCAGGATGCCGCCCTGCACCACGGCGCCCGGCGGCAGCGCGCCGCCCGCGCCACCTGCGACAGCGAGGAGAGGGTCACGCGCCGGCGGTGCCGCCGTCCCCCACCCACCAGCGGCCGGGCACCTACCGAGCCACTCGATGGTGGGCGCCGGGCTGCCCGTGGCCACGCAGCGGAACTCGGCGGGCTGCCCCGGTGCCACGCTCAGCTGTGCTGGCTCCACGGTGGCGCTGGGGGCGGCGGTGGGGCTGGCTGCATCGGGGTGAGAGGTTTGGCTCAGGTCCCCCCAAGCTGCTCCCTAGTTCTCCCAGCACCCCAATTTTGCCCCTACACTGGGTGTGTGGTTGGGCATCCTGCCCTTGCTTGAGGACTTACAGCGTCTGTGGCCTTCCATGAACTCAACGGGTCCGTAAAACATCTGAGTCTTCGAAGGGGCTGCAAAACAAGCCCAGGTTTCCAGGCAGTGCCGTGGGCAAGCCAAGGAGCTTCTCTTGCCCCTCACCGTGGCCTCTAGGCTCTGCACGAGGCTGGATGGGGAAGCGGGGAGAGCAGGCGGGCACCTTGGACGTAGAGTGTGGCCGTGCCCTCGTCCATGTCGAGCATGTTGGAGCCGGTGCAGACGTAGACACCGGCGTCTTCGGGCTGCACGTTGCGGATGGTGAGGATGCCGTTGAAGTCCATGGCGCGGCTCGGCAGCTTGCCGTGGTTCTGGCGCGTCCACACCAGAGTGTAGGCAGGCGACTGGCGAGGAAGAGGAGGGTGAGGAAGGGTGGTGGARGGGGGAGATGTGGCTCGGTGCTGCTCTGAAGGGCTCAGAGCTGCTCGGATGGGCCAGGTGGGCAAGCAGGGGTGTCTGCATGTCCCATGCAACTGCACGGGCACCCAGGGATATCAGCATGGCCAGGTGGGCCCCCAGGGGCACCTTGCAAGCTCAGGTGCCCCATTCACCTGCCCCGCTGCCCCTCACCTTGCTCTTGGCCGTGCAGATGAAGGTGACATCGGCACCAGGCTTCACCCGTTGCACYCTCTTCTCCTCCACTGTCACCGTGATGGGCTTGCTGGGGCTTTCTGCGCCCCGAAGGGAGAGAGAAAGCGAAGGCTGAGCCCTGGCCTTGGCCTTCCCAGCAGCCGGTGTCTCCTCTCCCTGGGGTCCCTACCAGTGACGATGACCTCGGCRCGGCTGGCGTTGCTGTGCTGCAGGTTGCGGCAGGAGCAGATGTAGACGCCGGCCTCGGAGGGCTGGATGTTGGCGAAGTGCAACTCCTCGCCTGGGGGCATGGGTGGCTGAGAGCCCGACGCAATGCCCCCCTTCCCGGGCAGGCCCCCGCGCAGCGCCCCGACCCGGTACCTTCGCGACGGCTCTGGGCGCCGCCGGGCAGCGGGCGCCCGTCTTCCCGCGACCAGTAGTAGTAGAAAGGGGGGTCCCCGCTGGCCTGGCACTGCAGGGTCACCGCRCTGCCTTGGGCCACCGTGGTCCTGGGCGGGTGGATGCGCACGGCCAGGGGCGCCGAGTCTGCAGCGCACGGGCAGAGCGGCRGCGGTCAGGGTGGGTGGCGCGGTGCCAGTGCCACCGTGCACACCACTGTCACCACCGCCACTTACCCACGGGCAGGCACCTCTGTCCCCGCACGTTGGGGTCTCCCACGTAGCCGGGCGCGCACCTGGGGGACACAAGCGGCGCGGGTCGGCGGGGCGGGCTCCGGGTGCCGTCACCCGCGGGCAAGGCAGTACTCACTGCTCGCAGTACTGCCCGGTGTAGCCAGGCTCACAGGCGGTGCAGCGGTAGCCACCAGCTCCCAGGCTCTCACACGTCCGTGAGAACCTGCGGGGACACAGAGGGCACCGGTGGCAGTGGCGGGCACCCCAAAGCAGCTCCCACGCCGTGGCAGCCTGGCAAGCCCGGCACAGGGCCGGTTGGGGGCACTCACTGGTTCTCAGGATGGAGCAGCGGGCAGGCRCAGGGCTGGCAGTCCTCCGGCGTGCCGGCCGTGGCGTCCCCGTAGAAGCCGGGCGAGCACTGGTCGCAGAACTCACCTGCCGTGTTGTGCAGGCAGCTCTGCGGAGAGGAGCAGCAGGCGCTGCGGAGGGTGCCCTGCGGCGGGCACCCAACGGAGCCACACGCGCCCAACGGGGACACTTACGGAGCAGGCGCCGCTCTCRGGGTGGCAGCTGTCCGAGTGGCCGTTGCACTCGCAGAGCTCGCAGTGGCCCAGGTAGAGCCCGCCGCCGGTGCGGGTGTAGCCAGGAGCGCAGTCCTGCCGGGGCGCGTGGGTGAGCGCCGTGCGGCACCGCCACCACGGCCACCCCGCCACCGCACCTGCCTGCCCCGCTCACCTGGCACGAGAGCCCGCGGTAGCCCGGTGGGCACCGGCACTCCTCGACCTCCGGCGCCGGCGGCAGCCCGGGGGCGGCCGGCACGGCGGTCTCCATGCTGACGCCGGCGATGCTGGACGAGGCCATGTTGGTGGAGTAGGTGGCACGGATGAGGATCTCATCCAGGTCGGCCAGGGCCATCATGAGATGCTCCCGTGTGGCCGGCTGCCCGTCCGGGCGTTTCCAGTATTGCTGTGGGCGGAGAGGCAGCATGGGGGYCGGCTTGCACAGAGGCAACGGGGGACACCTGGACACGGCACCCACCCGGTCCTGCCGCTCTGACCCGCTCCTACCTCGTGGAAGACGATCTCGAAGGCGCGCGGTGTGCGCGGCGGCAGCTCGGGCTGGTAGGCCACCAGCGTGATGTCATTGCCCTGTGGCACGTGGCGAGGAGGAAGAGGGTGAGCAGAGAAGGTTCTGGCTGCCTGTGCTCACCCGGCTCCGCGTGTCACCGCTCTGTACCGTGATCTGGACGTCGGCATCGGGCAGCGGGGCACCACGTCCGCTGGGGGTGTACGCCAAAGTGTAGCGCAGCCGCCCGCCGTAGGAGCCCACCTGCAACGGGGAGGAAGAGGAAGGTGAGGAGGCAGCAGGCAGGCGCTCCAGGACTCTGCAGCGCTGCTCCAGGGGCAGGCGCCGCCGTTACCTGGTYGCCCAGGTAAATGCCGGGGAGCTGCCAGTAGAAAACGCTGGTGGGGAGCAGAGGGAAGCCCGTGAAGACCAGAGCAGACTGGCACGGATGGAAAGGCAGAAAGACAGAAGGAAGCTGTGGGCGCCGGAGAGTGGCAGGGYGCGGGGAGCAGGGCCCGGGCTCCGCGCTGCCAGCCCCGCGGGCGAGCGCGCCGGTACCTCGGCGGCGTCTCGGCCCGGCGCGGCGGCCAGGGCTCTGCGCAGCTGCTCCTCCGCCGGCACCGCGCCGCTCCGTGCCACGGGCTGGCGGGCGGCACCGGGGCTGGGCAGCGAGCGGGAGCGTGCACCGTGTGCCCGGCGCATGCGGGCGAAATAGGTTTCTCTGCGCTTTGGAGCGAGCAGAGAGGAGGAGGAAGAAAGGCAAGAGGAGAGAGACGGGGTCAGCAGGGGACGCGCCGCCGGTGCCAGCAGCCCAAAACATTCCCAGCTGCGCCGCCCCCGCGCCAGCTGCCAGCGACGGGCTGGGCCGCGTCCCAGTGGCCGCGGGGACGCGTGTGCCCCCTTACCTTGTCCCCCTGGTAGAGYGGCGGCAGCTGCCAGTAGTAGGACTCGCGGCCCAGCTCGGCGAAGCGGCCGTACGTGAGCTGGGGGCCCGCGGCACCCATCTCCACGCTGAAACCCGTCTCCACGCGGCTGCTGTGCTGCCGGTTGACCAGGGCGAAGTCCTGGAAGGCGCCGGGCGCGAAGGAGGTGCTGAGCTGCGGGGAGAGCGCGGGTGAGCGGCGCCGGCGGGCGCGACGGCGGCAGGATGCACCGAGCGGCTCCTACCAGCATGCGGGAATAGGAGGAGCTGGTGCACTGCTGCACGATGCCCATGCAGAAGCAGGGCAGGCAGCCYGCGGGGTTGTCGGCGCTCAGGTGGAAGTGGTGGGGGCGGCAGGAGGCACAACGGGGGCCCTTGACGTTGGCCTGTGAGCGATGAGGCAAGTGTTGGGTGCTGCATCATGGTGCGGTGCATCTTGGAGCATCGCGGTGCATCGCGGTGCATCACGGTGCATCACGGTGCATCATGGTGCACTGCAGTAGGTCATGGCACGTTGCAGTGCATCACGGTGCATCGTGGCACCAAACTCACCTTGCATTGGCACAGCCCGTCGGCATCGCAGGCCCTGCTGAGGCTGCCGCGCRGGTCGCACTGGCACTGCTCGCCCGGCTCTGCGCGCAGGAGGAGAGCAGTGAAGCACATCCCACAAGCCCCATCTCCATCCCCGTCACCACCGGCGCTCACCTCGGCACGGCTGGTCGCGCGGCGGGTCCCCCACGAAGCCCGGAGAGCACCTGGGTGAGAGGGAGAGCGTGAGCACCATGCGCAAGTGCCCACCTCCCGCGCTGAGCCCCGCGGCGCCCGCACCTCTCGCAGAGCCGCCCGGCATAGCCCGGCGCGCAGGCGCTGCACGTGGGCTGCCCGTCRGTGTCTGCAAAGCAGGTCCTGGTCTCCCTGGCACAAAGAGGGCACAAGAGCTGAGCAGTCACCACAGAGGTGCCAGGAGGGCGGGCAGGGACAGGGAGACACATACTGAGTGGCGGAGGGCGGTCCGTGGCAGGGACAGGGCTGGCAGTCACCGGGGGTCCCACGGGTGGCGTCACCGTAGTAGCCCGCTTGGCACTTGTCGCACTGGGYGCCCTCAGTGTTGTGGCGGCAGTCCTGGCGCGGGAGAGAGCCTGACTGAGCGGCAGGAGGAGGAGGAGGACGCGTGCAAGAGGAGGAGGCGCGTGGGGGGCTCACCTGGCACACACCGCTCTCGGGGTGGCACTCGTCCGCGTGCCCGTGGCACTGGCAGCGCTCGCAGGTGCCCAGGTAGAGCCCGCCGGAGGTGCGGGTGTAGCCGGCGGCGCAGTCCTGCCGGAGCAGAGCGCGCGGCCAGGAGACGTGTGGCACCCCCTTGGCCCCATGCACTGGGAGCGAGCGGGAGCCCGCGGGAGCTCACCTGGCACGAGGGGCCGCGGTAGCCGTCGGGGCAGGCGCAGTCCTCCACCTCCAGCGCCCGCCGCAGCCCCGTGGYGTGTGGCACGGCCACGTCCATGCGCACATCGGCGAGCCTGTGAGGAGAGCAAGCGGGTGCCATATCGTGTCCCTCCCACCACCAAAAGCCACACCGGGGCTGTGTCCCCACCCTCGCCCCCATTACCTGCTCTCCAAGGGGGTCTCCGAGTAGGACGCACGGATCATGAGCAAGTCCACRTCGGCCAGCGCCATCAGGAGATGCTCCCTCGTGGCCTCGCGCCCATCGGCCCGGCGCCAGGCGCGCTGCGAGGGCACAGCGTGAGCCGGGGACGGGCACTGCTGGCAGTGATGKGGTCACCCCGGCGCGGCGGCACCGCGCAGCCCTCACCTCGCGGAAGGGCACGGTCACGGTGGCGGGGACGCCGGGCGGCGGGCTGGCCTCGCTGAAGTGCTCCAGGGTGATGCCGTTGCCTCGCAGCAGCACGTCGGGGTGGCGCAGCAGCGGGCGCGCGCCTGCCGGCGCCGCGTGGCTCACCGTGTAGCGCAGCTCGCCGCCGTAGGACGTCACCTGCGCGGCACGGCGTCACCGCCGCGTCCCCATCCCCGCCAGCGCAGCCTTCCCCATCGCACCCACACTGTCCCACCTTGTCGCCGGTGAAGCTCGGTGGCAGCACCCAGAAGTAGACATCACGGGGCAGCGTGTGGAAGTCGGAGAAGGCGACCTCGGTGGCGCCGGCGAAGCGCACGCCCTCGCTCACCGTCTGCGTGGCACCCAGGTTGGCCAGGCTGAAGGGCGTCTCGGCCGTGGCGCGCACCTGCCAAAGCGGCGGCAGCTCGGAGGGCGCCCGGAGCTCCGGAGCAGGGCGGGACGGCGCCGGGTCGCGTGTGCCGCGGTACCTGGTCGCGGTGCCAGGAGGAGCTGGCGCACTGCCGCGAGACGCCCATGCAGAAGCACTTGAGGCAKCCGTCGGGGTTGGCGTGGCTCAGGTGGAAGGCGCCCGCCGCRCACTCGTCGCACAAGCGGCCCGTCACGTTGGGCTGCGGGGGCCCAAGGGGTGGCCGGTTGCCCACCATGGCCGGGTGCCCACACCACAGAGATGCCCATACCGGAGGGATGCCCGCGCTGGAGGAGTGGGCACCGGGCTACCTACCTTGCAGCGGCATGTGCCACCCTCAGTGTCCTGGCCCCCGCGCTCGTCACATTTCACGATTTCCTGGCCTGTGGGTACAGCAGGGAGTGAGTGSTGGAACCTGGCCGTGGCCCCGTCACTGTCACCATCTTTGCCCCCATCAGTGTCCCTGTCCACATCCCAGACTCTGTTCCCATTCCTATTCCTGTCCCTATTCTCATCCCTGTACAACTATCCCATCATTTCCACTCCCTTCCCAGTGCCTGTCTTTGCCCCTATCCTCATCCCCATCTCCATTCCCATCYTTATCTTCACCTTCATCATCCACATCCCAGTCCTCTTCTGCATCCCTGTCTGTATCCCCATCTTCATCCTGGACCTCRTTCTCATCCCCATCCTCATCCCCATCATGCTCCTCACCCTCATCCTTGTCCYTGTCCCCATCCYCATCCCCTTCCCTGTCCCCATCCTTGGCACTCACCGATGGGGGTGCACTTCCCTCCCGGTTGGATGGGATCACCCTGGAAGCCAGGCGCACACCTAGACAGGGAAGGACCACGCGCTGGGACGGTGCCACCACCACCTGCCCCGGGCCRCCCCGGCCGGGTCTGGCCACTGGCCACGCACCTCTCGCAGCGGCGGCCGGCGTAGCCGGGGGCGCAGGCGTCGCACGTGGCCTGCCCGTCCGTGTCGAGGAAGCAGGACTCGGAGAAGCGGCGCCCCGGCTCGGCGTAGGGGCAGGGGCAGGGCCGGCAGCTGCCCGCCGTGCCCAGCGTGGCRTCGCCGAAGTAGCCGGCGCGGCACTTCTCGCACCGCGGGCCCTCCGTGTTGTGCTGGCAGTTCTGCGATGGGCACCGGCGTGAGCGCCCAGGGCGCACGCCGCCCGCGCCGCGTCCCCGTGCCCGCGCCGCCGGCTCACCAGGCAGTGCCCGAAGACGGGGTCGCAGGCGCTGGCGTGGCCGTGGCAGCTGCAGCCCGAGCAGGTGCCCAGGTAGGGCCCGTGGGGCAGGCGCTCGAAGCCGGCGGCGCAGCGCTCGCAGGAGAGCCCCGCGTAGCCCGCTGGGCAGCGGCACCGCTCCACGGCCTCGGCCGGGCCCAGCCCCGTGTCCTCAGCGCCGCTGACCTCCATGGCCACGGCGCTGAGGCCGGCGCTCGCCTGGCGCCCGTCGTACACGGCCCGCACCAGCAGGCCCCGCACGTCCTGCAGCGCCAGCAGCAGCTGCTCCCGGCTCACCGCGGCGCCCGCCTCRTCCTCCCACTCGTCCTGCGGGGTGGGGCAAAAGTCACAAGTGGGAAAACAGGTCCACAGGGGCCCAGGAGGGGGCTGCCGTGAAGCCTTGGCAACCACTGTGCCCACCATGTTGAAGAGCAACCACATGCCCCCATGGTGGCCACCATAATCTCCTCAGTGAAGAACATCCACGTCCCCTCCACGGTTGCCACCATGACCATCTCAGTAAAGACCACCCATGTCTCCCAGTGGTGACTACTGTAACCAGCTCAGTGAATACTAACCACGATCCCACACAGTTGCCACTGTACCACTGTACCCGCCTTGGTGAAGACCAGTCGCAACTCGCACGGTGGCCAACAAACCCACCTCAGTGAAAACAACCACATCCCCTCATGGTTGCCACCATACCCACCTCAGCAAAGACCAGTCAACAACCTCCCATGATTGCCCCTATACCCACCTCAGTGAAGACCAACCATGTTCTCTCATGGTTGCCCCCATACCCATCTCAGCRAAGACCAGTCAACAACCCCCCATGATTGTCCCCATACCCACCTCAGTGAAGACCAGCCACGTCTTCCCATAGACACCCCCATTCCCATCGTACTGAAGATCAACATATCCCACCCATGGTTTCCACCATACTCAAATTGCTGAAGTCATGCCCCCTCATGGCTGCGACCTCAGTGAAGACTATCCACATTCCCCCATGGAGACCACTCTGCTCACCTCAGTGAAGACTACCCACGTCGCCCCTGCACTCACCTCGGTGAAGGTCACCCGGCGGTGGTTGAAGACACCAGGCCGGGTAGGCTCGGCACGGGGCCGGGAGAGCAGCTTGCCACGGGCRCCCAGCAGCACCACGTCGGGCCGTTGTGTCGGCTCCGGCGGCCCACGGCCCAGGTGGTAGCGCACGGTGTAGCTCAGCACGCCACCGTAGGCGTCCACCTACCCGCAAGCAGAGGGTTGGTGTTGCGGTCACCGCCACGGCCGTCCCCTTGCCCCCGTGCCGCGGTGACCGCTCACCTTGTTGCCCAGGAAGGGCTGCGGCAGCGCCCAGGCGGCCTCGCGAGCCGGGAAGTGCCGTGACAGGTCCAGCAGCTGGAACTCCTCGGCGCCGGTGTCGATGCGCAGCTGCGGCGCCGCCAGCGCCGGGGCGCCCGCCGGCCCCGCCGTCACGTTCACACCTAGCGCCCATGGGACCGGCATGAGGCACGGCGCCGGCGCCGCCGTCCCGGCGCGGCACCGCGCGGCCCCGGTGCTCACCCTTGAAGTCGCCGGGGCGGTCGAAGCGGAGCTCGATGCGGCGGCGGTGCTGGCCGGCGCCGTGGCACACGCTGGTGACGCCGAAGCAGAAGCAGGGCAGGCAGCGCCCGGCCGCGGGCAGGTGGAAGTGGCCGGCGGGGCAGGGCCCTGCGGGAGGGCGGTGAGCGCGGGGTGGCGGGGCCGCCGGGCGGGACACGGCGGGGGCGCGCGCGAGGGCTCACCGCGCGGCGGCGTGACGGTGAGCACGCCGTCGGGGATGCCGAACACCATGCCGCGCGCGTTGATGGCCTCGCACGTGTAGGCGCCCTGGTCGGCCTCCTTCACGTCGCGGATGGTCAGCGTGCCCTGGCCCTTCTCGCTCACGATGGACACCCTGGACGGGGGACACTGCCACCATCAGCCTGCCCCCTGCCAGGCCACGCCCCTCGTGGCAAGCCACACCTCCTCACTGCATGCCCCTCTTACTGCAAGCCCCTCCCCCTTGATGCAAGCTCCTCCCATCACCTCAAGCCCCTCCCACCACCTCCCATACCTTTCATTGTGAGACCCCTGGCTACAAGCTCCTCCCATCACAAGCCCCTCCTCCTTGTTGCAAGCCCCTCCCACCACCTCCTGCCCCCATTGAGCCCCTTGCACCATTTCCAGCCCCACTCTGCCGCAAGCCCCTCCCACAACATCCAAGCCCCTCCCACCACAAGCCCCCTATCACATGCAAGCTCCACCCCACAGAAGTGACCCCGCCCACTGCTGCAGGCTCCCCAGCACTTGCCGCCCAAGCCCCGCCTCCCGTGCAAGCCCCKCCTCCCGTGCAAGCCCCGCCCTCGGCACCTGCGGCTGGCGGGGATGTGTCCCCAGTTGAGGCGCCAGGTGATGATGGGGGTGGGGACGCCGGTGGCCACGCAGGTGAAGCGCACGGTCTGGCCTGGCACCGCCTGCACCGCCTCCACCGGCGGCGTCACCACCTGCGGGGGGACTGCGGGGGACACGCATCACCCGTGTGCACCACGGGCACAACCATCCCGGCACCGCTACAGGGGACATGCGTCACCCATGGGCACCACGGGCACCACCATCCCAGCACCGCTGCAGGGGACATGTGTCACCCGTGTGCACCATGGGCACAACCATCCCGGCACCACTGCGGGGGACACGTGTCACCCGTGTGCACCACGGGCACCACCATCCCGGCACCGCTGCGGGGGACACGCGTCACCCGTGTGCACCATGGGCACCACCATCCCGGCACCACTGCGGGGGACACGCGTCACCCGTGTGCACCACGGGCACCACTGGCACCACTGGCACCACTGCGGGGGACACGCGTCACCTGTGTGCACCATGGGCACAACCATCCCGGCACCACTGCGGGGGACACGCGTCACCTGTGTGCACCACGGGCACAACCATCCCGGCACCACTGTGGGGGACACGCGTCACCCATGGGCACCATGGGCACCACCATCCCGGCACCACAGGGGCACTGCCGGGGACACGCATCACACATGTGCAGCACGGGCACAACCATCCTGGCGCCGTGGGAGCACTGCGGGGGACACGCGTCACCCGTGTGCACCACGGGCACAACCATCCCGGCGCCGCTGCGGGGGACACGCGTCACCCGTGTGCACCATGGGCGGCACCATCCCAGCTCTGCACCCAGCACCGCGCCTGGTCCAGCACCACCAGCAGCACGGGGTTCTAGCACAGTGGCCCGCACAGCGCCCAGCACTGCAGCCGGCACAGGCCCTAGCGCGGTGCCTGGTGTGGCACTATGACCGGCACAGGGTCCGGTGCTCTACCTGCCATGCCAAGGTCCCAGCACTGCAGCCGGCACAGCAACGGCACCGTGCTCAGTGCAGCACCGCGACCGACACGGGGCCCAGCACCACAGCCAGCATTGCACCCAGCACAAGTCCTACCGCTTCACGTGCTGCAGCACCAGCACCGGCATGAGATGCCCACCCTACAGCCGGCACTGCCCCCCGCGGCACCCCCACACACCCCCGCGGCGTCCCCGGCACTCACCGCAGCCGACCTCGTCGGAGCGGTCGGGACAGTCGGGCTCCTCGTCRCACTGGTAGCTTGCGGGGATGCAGCTACGGCTGGACACGCATGTGAACTGCTCCGGCTCGCACGTGTCCCCCGGCGCCTTGGTGGCTGTGGGACAGGGCCGGTGGCGGTGTTGGCACCAGCCAGGTGACCCGGCACGGCACCGCTGGCGCTGCTGGGGACACTCACGGCAGTTGGTCTCGTCGGAGCCATCGCCGCAGTCATCGTCGCCGTCGCAGCGCCAGAGCTTGAGGGCGCAGTGCCCGTTGCGGCACTTGAACTCATTGGGCTCGCAGGGCGTGGGGGTCCCTGCAGGTGCCATTGCAGTGTCACCATCGCTGTCCCCGTCCCCGTGCCGGACACCACCCCCGCCGCCCCCGGGCGCTCACCGCAGCCCAGCTCGTCGCTGCCGTCRGCGCAGTCCCGCTCGCCGTCGCACAGGTAGTCGCGGGGCACGCACTGACGGTTGCCGCACGCTGCCTCGTCGGGGCGGCACCGCGACTGTGCCGGCGCCAGCACCGTGGCCGCTGGGCGCACAGTGGCCACCCGCGCTGTGCTGGTGGCCGCACGTGCCGTGCTGGTGGCCGCGCGCGCTGTGCTGGTGGCCGGCGGCATAGTGGTGGCCGGTGACGTGGTGGATGGGGCAGCCGCGTCCGTGGGACCTGGGGAGCGATCGGTTAGCGGAGCGGAGAGGGGAAGGCGGAGGGAGAGCGCGCTGGGGAAAGGGGACACGCGCGGGGTGGGCACAGGCGCAGGGGACGGCGAACGTGCCAGTCTCACCACAGCCCTCCTCGTCCGAGGCGTCGCGGCAGTCGGGCCGGCGGTCGCAGCGGTACGAGCCCTCCACGCACTCGCCGCTGCCGCAGGCGAACTCCAGCGCGCTGCAAGCGCGCCGCTGCGGCGTCACTGCCGGGGAGGGCGGACGGCATGCTCAGCGGTGGCACTTCACCAGTGCAACCCGAGGCCACCGACGCAACCCAATGCCACCGGTGCATCCCGTCCATGCCACCGGTGCCACCCGTGCAACATGATGCCGGTGCATCCTGCCAGTGCATCCCACCGGTGCAACCCACTGCCACCAGTGCCACCCCCGCCAGCAGCCGTGCAGCCCATGGCCGCTGTCCCCACTGCTCACCGGTGCCGAGCCGCCGGAACTGGAAGCCCTCCTCGGAGGTGACGTAGGAGGCGATGGAGCCGGCGGCCACCACGGCGCGCAGCACCTCGCGGATCTGCTCCTCGTCGCCGTTGCCCTCCGAGCCCACGTCCAGCTCCACAAAGACGGAGCCGGCCACCTCCCTGCAGCGGGGAACAGGGCGTGGGCACGGGCAGGACCCTGTGCACCAGCRTCACTGCATCCCACCATGGCACTCACTTGATGAAGACCACGCTGACCACCTGCTCGCCGGGGATCTTGTAGTACTCGGACTCCAGCTGCGGTTGAGGCAGGAAGGAGGRGGCATCAGTGCGGTCCCTTGGGGACATCCCCATCCCCGTGTCACCCCTCGGCACTCACCGTGTCCACCACGGCCTCGGCCACCTCCCGAAACTCCTCAGAGGCGGCGTCCTCCAGCCGGGCACTGTAGTCAATGCTGTGGGTGAAGTTCACCAGCGCCCGGAAATAGACTGCAGAGGGGACACAGGGACAGGGTTGGCACTGTCCCCAAGGTCCCTGCTGTGTCCCGGTGCCACCCACAGCACTTACTGAGAGGGCCGTCATCGTCCGGCCCCACCATGCCGGCCGGCTCGGGTGCTGCTGCCGCGCACAGCAAGAGGAAGAGGAGGAAAAGGAGGAAGAAGAGAAGCCAGGAGAGAGCGGAGGATGAGCACGGAGGTGGCAGTGTGCCCAGGTGACGTCCTGGTGTCCCTGTGCTGCTCACTTACCTGTGGGCTCCAGCTCGCCGCTGGCCATGACCAAGCCGGGGATGTCGGCACCGCCAAGCGAGCTGGCGCCGCTGCCGTCCTCGCCACTGCCATCTGCAAAAGGAGCCCCCGTGAGCCGCCAGCAGCAGCCAGGCGCCCAGGTGGCACCGCGGGGGCCGCGCGCGGCGCCGTACCGCCCGAGGGCTCGTCGGCCAGCAGGTCCTCGTCATCRGAGAGCTGCGCGTAGTAGCGGCGGCCGCGCGCGCTGCCGGGCCGGTCCGCCTCGGTGTCCTCGGGGAAGGAGGCGTCGCGCCGGCCCGCGGCCACCTGCACGGGGACAGGGCGCAGAGGCGGCTGAGGGCGCCGCTCGCCGCGGGCGCCTGGCAAGCGCCGCGGCCGCATAGCTGCGCGCTGGAGTCATGGGCGGCGCGGGCGGCGCGCGGGCGATGAGCTCATCCCGCCGGCCGCCCACCGCATTCCTGCGCCCGCGGCCACGCAGCTGCCCCGGGGCCGCAGCGYGCCGGGGGGGACGGCAGCGTGCGGGGCCGCGCTGCCGCGCGTGGGCCCGCGCGTGGGGCTGGCAGCGCTCGCACCGCTGCGCGCCCACGCCGCGGGGGATGCGCGCGCGCTCGCACCGCGCCACGCTTGCACCGACGCGGGCCGTGCGTGCGCGCTTGCACTGCCTCATGCATGCGCCACGTGGGGCTGAGCGTGCAGGCTTGCACTGCTGCATGCCTGCACCACGTGGGGCTGCGTGTGCGTGCGTGCACTGCTGCATGCTTGCACCGACGTGCGCTGTGCGTGCGCGCTTGCATCGAGACGCGTGCGCCGCGTGGGGCTGYGCCCGCGTGCTCGCACTGCCACGTACATGCACTGGCATGTGCTGCTGCACACGCACTGGCACTGCTACATGCGTGCACCGCTACATGCATGCACCAGGACAGGGCTTGCACTGCCGTGTGCATGCACCAGTATCGGCCGTGCGTGTGCTTGCACTGCCGCGTGCACGCACCAAGGCGGAGCTGCCAACGCTCTCGTGGCACCGCTTGCACACGCGCTTGCATCACCCCGCGTGCATCCTGGTGCTCCCACACATGCATCCCGGCGCTCCCACGCATACACGCAACSCCCCGCTGCACCCACGGTCCCGCACACAAAACGGGGGGGCGAGTGGGGGGGTGCAGCCGCCAGGTCCCCCCCCCTGTAGCTGGGCCGAGGAATCCGTCGGGGCAGCAATTTGCTGTGCAAACAAGCGCGGGCGGATTAGAGCGGGCGCGGGGGCCGGCGCGGGGGGATCGCTCAGGATTTACCCGCCACAAAGGGTGGGAAAAAGCACGGCCGCCCCGGGCGAGGGGGAGCGGGATGGGATGGGGGGGGGACACGCGAATGCCAGCGCGGCGCCGTGCCCAGGACGCCTGGGCCCYGGCCAGGCTGGCGGGGACAGGCACCAGACGGTGCCCCCTCCTTCTCCTCCCCCCAAAATATCCCGGCCTCGGGCACGGCTCTGATGGAAGCGGAGGGTGTTGGTGCTTTGGGGAAACTGAGGCACGACCCACCCCTGCACTCGGCCACACGTGCAGCGAGCGGGTCGGGGCTCAGCTGCGCGCGGGGAGGGCGYGGGGGCCGGGCACACCTGTCCCATCCGCCGGCGGAATGGGAAAGAACCCGGATCGGGTTACCGGAAACAGCTTGCCGGACCCCCCGGCATCACCCCGGACGCCTGGGCCCGCTGCTGGGGCCATCTCCTTGCAAACCTTCCCCCCTGCTTCATTCCCAAGCAAAATTCCCGGGATGGGGAAAAGCGGGGGGGAGGGAAAATCCCAGCGCGGGGCGGGCAGGATGCCCGGCCGGACGCTGGCGCTCCTCAGTTTTTCCACTGGCCGGCCCAAAATTCCCGCCATATCCGACGGGCGCCCTTGGGGCTGCCCGGGGAGGAAGGCGAGGAAGAGGAGGGAGGTGCCGGCCCCACTGTCACGTCCGCCGCCGGCGCCACGTGGGCTTCGCTGGGACCTCGAGCGAGCGCCGGGGCCGGCGCCGGGATGCAGCGGAAAAGCAGGAAGCGGCCGCCCGGCGCCGCCGCGGGGGGGTTATTAACAGCCCCCCCCGGGCTATTGTTTCCCAAGGCCGCGGCGGCTTCCAGCCCCAAAAGGTGTTTCCCGGCCGTGTTTCCCGGCCGCTTCCTGCGGAGGCGCGAGGACGGGGCGTCCCCCCCCGCCCGCTGCTGGAGCAGCCGGCAAAGGCATCCCGAATCCCGGCATGCTGCAACGGGATTTGGCTGTTTTCCCCTCTTTTCCTTGCCCCCTCCCATGCCAGAGCGGGAGGAGGAGGTGGATGGAGCTGCCGGCGGCCCCGGGCGCCCTCGCCGCCAGGCGCATTCCTCCCCACTCCCGATTGCCTAATTTATCCAGCTGGGAATAGCAGCCGTCAGGGGGCAAGGGAACGCCCCGGGAAGCGGGGGTGATGGAGGCAGCTGCCCCCTCCCCTGGCACCCCTCTTTCCCCCCCCCCCGCCCCCGCAGGCAGGCAGAGCCGGAGGGGCCCAGGCGTCCTGGCGCAGCGCCTTCCTCCTCCTCCTCCTCCTCCTGGCCATCTTTGGCCATGGGCGACTGCGGAGCTGGGAAAGAAATCAGTGACGGGGCAAAAACGGTGCCGGGGGGGCTGCGACGCGTGGCCCGGCTGTGGCAGGGGGTGGCACACGCGTGTGCACGGTCCCACACGCGTGTGCACGGTCCCACACGCGTGTGCATGGTCTCACACGCGTGTGCACGGTCCCACACGCGTGTGCATGGTCTCACACGCGTGTGCACGGTCCCACACGCGTGTGCACGGTCCCACACGCATGTGCACAGTCCCACACGCGTGTGCATGGTCCCACACACATGTGCATGGTCTCACACGCGTGTGCACGGTCCCACACGCGTGTGCACGGTCCCACACGCATGTGCATGGTCTCACACGTGTGTGCACGGTCCCACACGCGTGTGCACAGTCCCACACGCATGTGCACAGTCCCACACGCATGTGCATGGTCCCACACGCGTGTGCATGGTCTCACACGCGTGTGCACGGTCCCACACGCGTGTGCTTGCTCGCCCGAGGCCTGGCGATCTTATCACACATTCCTGGCCTGACCTCGCCCCCCCCCCAGCTTTAACCCTTGCCGGGCAGCGCGGCGGCGTCCCCGGCGGGTCACCCGATGCCCGCAGTATATTTAGCGCGGCGGTGGCGGTGACGTCCCCAAATGGCCGGGGCCGGCAGGGGAGGGGACGCGGGACCCCGGCGGGGGGGCGGGGGACGGTGGGGACGCCGCGCTGCCAGCGCGGCCCTGAGCAAAAAGGGGCCTCTGTTCTCGGGGCGGCCGCGGGCGAAAGTCCCGGCCCGAAACCGCCCCCGCGCACGGCCTGGACAGAGGGACGCAGGGACGGGGGGACCCCGCCGGGCAGCCCCCCGGGCCCTATTTTGAGACAGTTATTTTTAAGGGCGGGTGCCGGGTGCTGTCCCTGTCACCCTTTAAATTTAGCCAGGGCGGGAGACGGGGTGGGGACGGACGGACACCCCGAGGGGACCCCCTGGCCCTGGTGGGGGGGAAGCGGCTGCCTTGTCCCTCCTGTGCAGGGGGACCCCAAATTCCATCAGGGGACTCCGCGTTGTGGCCTGCTCCGTGTGGTGCTCATAGCTCCTAGGGGACGAGGCTGGGACCCAAATCCCGCTGTTCCACTCCTGGGGGATCCCACATCTCCATGGGGGCTCCCATTCTCGGATGGGATGGGGCAGTGTGCCAAGACCCCCTTTGTCCTGGTCCACGCAGGTCCCCAAGCTCCGGATGGGACAGGGCACGGAGATGGCACCCRACACCAATGGGGTCCACAGGGGTCACCAAAGCCCTTAGGGGACAGGGCAGGGTCCTGGGGGACCCGCATCCCCCTGGTCCATGGGGGACTCAAAATCACTTTTTGGGGGGATTGAGGGGATTGGAGCCGGATGATGGGGACCCCAATGCCCTCAACCCAGGCCTGGGATTTCCCARTGGGATGGGGCACAGAGGAGGGTCCCCATATCCCCCTGGTCCATGCAGGTCCCCAAAGCCCTCACAGGTGGGACACGGTGCTGAGGCCCCACATCCCCATGGGGATCCCCAACTCCTTGGCAGGACAGGACACTGAGGAGGGTCCCCACATCCCCCTGGTCCACGCGGGTCCCCAAACCTCTTCACAAGTGGGACATGGTGCTGGGCTCCCACATCCCCATGGGGGTCCCCAGCTCCCTGGTGGGAYGAGGCACTGAGGAGGGTGCCAGCATCCCCCTGGTCCACGGGGGTCCCCAACCCCCCAGACAGACAGGACAGGGAGCTGGGAGTCTCACACCCCGATGGTCCACGGGGTCCCACATCCTGGGGAAGACGGGACACGGCRCCGGGACCCTATGTCCCCGCGGGGGCCCGCAAGTCCCTAGCGGGACGGGGCACTGAGGAGGGTCCCCGCGGCGCAGAGAGGCCCCGCGCCCCGCGGCGGGCGGCCCCGGCGGAGGGTCCCCGCGCCCCCCGGTACTCACGGCGAGCAGCGGCGCGAGCAGCAGGAGGCCGCCGAGCGCGGCGGGGACGCGCGGCCCCCCCATGGCCGCTCCGCTCCGCTCCGCTCCGCTCCGTCCCGTCCCGTCCCGTCCGTCCCGTCCCGTCCCGCGCGCCGCCCGCCCCGCCCCGCGCCCGGGGGGCGGGACCGGGGCGGGGCAGGGGACACGCGTGGGGCGGGGAAACCCCCCTCACCTCCCGCTCCCGCCCCTCCGCGCGGGATCGGCGGGGGCAAGAGGGCAGGGGCAGAGGAAGGGGTGTAGGGGCCATAGGGGCTATGGGGGGTATAGGGGCTATGGGASGTATAGGGGCTATAGGGGGTACAGYGGGCTATGGGGGTATAGGGGCTATGGGAGGTATAGGGGTTTGGGGGGTATAGRGGCTATGAGGGTATAGGGGCTATAGTGGGTATAGGGGCTATGGGACATATACAGGCTATGGGGAGTACAGGGCCTATGGGGGTGTAAAGGCTGTGAGGAGGTACAGGGGTCTATAAGGGTATAGAAGCTAAGGAGGKATAGAGGCTATGGGGATAGAGGGTYTCTGGGTGTATAGGGTCTATGGGGAGTATAGGGGGGTATGAGGGTATAGGGGCTATGGGTAATATAGGGGGCTGTGGGGAGTACAGGGGTCTATGGGGGTATAGGGGCTATGGAGGAGTACAGGGGGCTATGAGGGTGTAGAGGCTATGGGGGTACAGCAGCTATGGGGGTATAGGGGCTCTGGAGGTGTAGGGGCTCTGGAGGTATAGGGGCTCTGGGGGTATAGGGGCTCTGGGGGTATGTTCAATAAGGACAAGTGCAACTTGTTCAATAAGGACAAGTGCAGGGTCCTGCACCTGGGCAGAAATAGCCCCAGGCACCAGTACAGACTAGGGGTCGACCTGCTGGAGAGCAGCTCCACGGAGAGGGACCTGGGAGTCCTGGTTGACACCAAGTTAACCATGAG